ACAGATAAGTGTACAGATAACAACAAACATGGACACACCCGTCCCTCAATTTCTATTCAAATGGCGGGATAATACAGGTGATACGATGTACCTTGTGAGAGATGCCCAGGCGTAAAAGCAGCTGTCGGCATATATGAGGCATCGCTGTGCGACCTCAAGGGATGTGAAGCAGAGATACATGGCGCATGGATTTCCTTAATTAATCAACGTTCTCGGATATTGTTTGCCCTAAGGCTTGGCCTCCTACCAAATATCTTGTGTTCTCGCACATTCAACATGTCTACCTATGATTTAGAGGCTCAGTTGACGGGACTAGGGATGACAGGTGAGCATTACTTCACAGCTTTTTACGATCAGAGAAGGTTCTCTTGGCTAAAAAAAAGTTCAATTTGCTGAAGCTCATTGCGGGAACTCGAATACGTTGACAGGAGTGTACCACCACAACATTGGATCTGCTGTGACTGTAAGTCACGGACACCGCTTCTGCAGGGCATGCACTGACGTTCTGAGATAACGAGGCACCGCAGGGTTATCCCAGGCTGGCCCGCTACATGGCCACAGCGGAGAACTTGAGCGTATTCCGCCAGTTTCGATACCTGCAAACGCGCATCATGTTGCAGCTGCAGGACGAGCTGCGGGAGCTCGAGACACTACTGTACAGGCTTGACGAGAGAGACCGCGAGTTCCCCGGCATGTTGCGGAGCAGAGAATACTGCGACAAGAGATCCCGAACCAGGAAGATGCTGCTGCACCGGACCCGGAGGAAGTGGATGGACTACGGTATAAGTAGAAATGCCTTCGTTCGGTATGTCCGTGCTAATCAGACACCAGCCGAATTCATAGGGAAGACCAATGACGTTCGATCGTTGACGAATGCCTCGAGATACCAGCTGGGATATCTGCGCAGTTTCTTCCGCCCACGTCCTCCCATAGACGGCAACGAGAACTTTCTCGTAGCTGACGGGGACCTGAAGAGCGTCAGGCCGGACGGAGACGGCGTCTGGCTGGATGAGGTACTGCTGTACTTGATGATCAGATATGAGTGTCGGCCCCTGAGGGTGAGCAGCCTGGAAAGCTTGAGCCAAGGAAAAATTGCTGATCTGAGTCGATTGTTGCCAAGTGGCTGTTTGGGTCCAAGGTGAGCCGTACCAAATTCCCCATTTTGCGCACCTGAGAGATCTCAAGAATAACTTCCTGGCTCTAGATCAGCCAGATAGATGACGACCAAAGACAAGATGCACGTCAAAAACAAACACGAACCGAAAAGCCGGCCAGCGCGACAGTCCCGAGCTCGACAGAACACGTCGAGCAGCAACACGGACAACGGACGACTCGCGCGAGTCAGAGGAGCCCGAGACACACGCTGTACGACAAGGATCGAATCCACGCGTTCACGATGGTCATCCTGATCGGGCTCGTGCTTTGCTTCCTCGCTGGACCTCTGTATCCCCTCTACAGCTGGGTGCAAGGTGAGGTGACGCCTGGGAGGATGGGCATGATCATGGGACTGCAATGCGTGTGTACCTTGCTGTTCGGCATGGTGCTGGCTATCTTTACGAATGCGAAGCGGCATGAGATCTTCACAGCCTCAGCGACGTGAGTGACCCCTCATCGGGGAGGCACGAAGACAAATGGCGACTGACGTGAGACGCGAGCCACAGCTACATGGCCATCTTGGTGGTTTTCATGGGACAAAGTCCAGCGTAGTGGGGCACATGGACTGCCGTTCAAGCGAATGAGAAGCTGCAGATTGATGGATTGTCAGTGTGGATGAAAGCGCACGTCATCCCACGGCTCCAACCCCTCCGAACTGGTCGAAGGGACTTTCACTCGGGATGGAAAACTGACGGATTTCTGATGAGAAAGCAAGAGTGGAGCACATGGCCTGGAAATAATGGGTCCGGAGGGTGTTATCGGAGACGGATGCTTATCAGACGGAGCAAGCGAGACAAAACAGGGAAGGCAAAGGGGAAAAGCCAGGCTTATCGGAGGAGGGGGTCCATGTGATAAGACAAGTAGCGCAAAAGATAAAAAAAAAATCCTTCACATGGACCAAGGGATTGGATGGCGGGGTGTCTTGGGTCGAGGGGCGGGCGAGCAGGAGGAGGGGTACACTTTCCCTTGGTGACCTGCTAGCACCTGCCCTGGATACTCCGCAAGGATCGCTAGGAAGACCCTGACGGTTGCACCTGGCTGCCCTGTACTGCGCCTGACTGATCCGCGCCAGCGCCCAAGCCTGAGCGACAAAAGTACAGAAAAGGGCCTTTGCTCTGTTCCAGATTTTCCCCTTTGCGACCTGACACACTCGGAGCCCAGAGACAGTTGGCTTTTTTTTTTTCTTCCTTTCCTTCTCTCCTGTCTCCCTGTGGCCGAGTTCTCACGACCTCGCCCTCTACACCTCAACCAGACAGACCTGAGTAGCCACAGAATCAGTCTTGCTCTCCCCGCCGATTTCTCAACGCCTCCACAGTCAGATCCAGGTTTTGAACCTGCGATGCCTCACACCGTCTCTCCTCCACCAGAGCCCAACATGACGATGGTGTCGAAGGCTGCGGGCCCTGCCCCGTCGCAGCAAGACGTCTCTGCCTTCATCACTACCATCTTTACCGCCCAGACCTCCAACCAGTCCATCGAGGCCTCCTACGGCCTGTGCGAACTCCTCCTCAACTCGGTCGGCTCCCAGGGCCTCGAGTCTTACGGCGTCCTCGCTGAGATTAAGAAGGCCGCTGCCGACAAGAAGAGCGGCCTTCGTCGCGAGAGTGCCCAAAACCTCCTGGGTGCACTCTTTGAGCGCTTCCCGGCCAAGCAACCTACCAGCGAGACCATTTTCCTCCTCAGGAATGGCGGCATTGTCAACGTTGCCCTCGACGCTCTCGCGGACAAGGGCACTGTCGTGCGGGACGCGGCGCAGTATGGCCTCGATGCTCTGTTTGCCCACCTGAGCCCCGAGGCTCTCGTCGTCGGCCTTCTCCCTGCCCTCTCCGCGTACCTCAGCAAGTCTACCGGCAAGTGGCAGGGCACCGTCGGCGCCTATAAGCTCCTCCAGAAGATGGCCGATAAGGCCAAGCTGATCGTTGGCTCCACCAAAGAGCAGGCTGCCGAAGGCGATGTCCTGCGCGACTCCTTCGGCACCAAGCTCGCTGGCCTCATCCCCATTGTCGAGGCCGGCATGCACGACCTCAAGGCTGAGGTCGGCAAGCAGGCTGTTCAGGCGATGAACTCGCTCACCAACCTTCTTGTCTAACGACGACGTTGCCCCCCGAATCC